AGGATATATTGATGGTCTCATTTTCCTTTTTGTCCCCTGCTGTGCTGTACGCAAGAGCCCCATTGTGCATGACTCATAACTAGCCTGCAGGAACCCGAGCAGGATAGATGATGTGAATGTCAGGTTGCACACAGAACATTTCAGCTCCTTTGTGGTGGATTGAAAATGAATTTGACTTAAATGCTAATTAATCCAAAAGGGTGCCTGTGGGTTTCTGCAGTGGTTAGCTATAGAGACCAATTCTATTTTTGTTATTAAGCACCTGTTATTCATGGGTACTTCCAAATGACAACAAAAAGGGTCTTCTTTTTGCTTTGCTAACAGTTTATAAATGTTTGTCTGATTAAGAGCTATCAGCACAATATGTAGTCTCCATACTATGAACTACCTCCCTCAGAAGAAATGGTTGCCACTGCACTGCTGTTTCAAGAAAGAAGAAAGTCACTCTTCCCTTCACTATAGTTTTCATCAGCCACTGCTACTGAGGCATCCTCACTAGTTCACCCCCTTCTCCTGTAAGCTCTCCCTCATCCTTGCTGCTGCAGCTTGGCAACAGAAGGCAAAATGGGTGGAAATTGATAAAGGGCTGTGTCAACTTTGCCCTGTTTGATTTGAAACTGTAGTGGAAAATCCAGGCTGCTTGTGCTGCATATTTTAATTCAGAAGTGACATTAGGAAGGATTTCCATTCACATCTGTAGTGCAGCTACCATTTCAAACCCCCACACCATGAGGTAAAATTCCCCAATCCCCCCACCCCTTTTTGTCTTTAAAACTGTAGCAGGATTTGCTATAGCCACAAATCTAGGAACTCCATGAAGTAATAGCATTTCAGAAAATGTGATTGTGGAGAAATAGCTGGTAATGGAAAGAGGTCACCATTACTAAGCACATGACTAGCCATAACAACAAATCAGGAGATGCCATAGTACTGTGTCAGTTTGTACCTCAAAAGTCTGCACTACATCTGCAATGAAATCAAAAAGCAACAACTATTAAACTAGAGTCACTGCTGGGGAAAAACTGAGAATGTAATAGCTTGGGAGAAACATCTAGATTCTCATTCCAGAATGTGTTCATTCAGCAAACTGTGTTCATAAAAAGCAAAGATGGAAGGAAACATATTCAACATGTCTTGAAATCTTCTAGACAAAGTATGACCCACATCTTTTCAAAATTATTTGTGATGAGCTAGAGTACACGATTACAGAATAAACAGATTTTTTTACAGTTGGTATAAGCATTACTTTCAGATTTAAAAAATCTAATGTATCTGGTTAGCTTTATACTATTTGCATATACAATAAGAACTCATTCTTGCATCTTGTATATGAATCTTTCTACACAAAAGACATATTTTTGTGTCCCTATCTAATGGACACTAAACAGCTAGTGGTTCTGCAAACTGTTGTGGGCATATGTCCTACCTCCTGAGGAGCCCAAATATAGAAGCAGTCTTTTATAGATATGATTTTCACCCTAGAACATTATGACTCAGTAAATCTGGGATTCATTTACAAAGACTTTAATTTTTGACATTTCTATAATCCTTTCCCCTTAAGTAGTTTGGCTTTCATTTACTATTTTGTAGTGCACAATAACTGCTTAGCTATGAAGGCCATATTTATCATGTGCTAAAGGATCATGACAGATTTGCATGTTTTGGTTATACAACACAGAGCTAATCCACATATTGTTTCTATTAAAATTGTGAAGCCAAGCTATAACTGGCAGATATGCTGTGCTTCTTTGGTGATATTCTTTGCAGCAACACTATGCACCCTTGGAAAGATCTATAGCACTTATTTCCAAGGAATAAGATTATCTTCAGGACAAAATATGCTTTGGGAAGAGTTAAGCTGGATAAAGTACAGTGCTTGTCTTCTGATTTGTTCATTGTCATTTTCGTAACATGAGAACTACAAATTTTAGCAAGGGTCCACAAGCTACACAAGAGTCTGTAAATTGTCAACTTTACCTTTATTGGTATAACAACACCCAAATAACAGCCATCATTCATTAACCACAGCATTCAGATACATTTCTTGCCTTTTAGATGCAAGATGTAAAAATTTGGCCACAGTTTCAATAACTGCTGGATTATAAGTGGATAATAAAGAATTTTGCCTTCATCATGTTGCCCTTCTTGATCTCACTGCCAAGGTTCAATAAGTGAGGACTGAATATTAAGGTAATAAGTACAATACAAAAAAAATGTTCAAGGCTTCCTACTTTGTGCAATCTACAAGCACAGAGCGGCAGGGCTATTTTTGGGCAAGAACGCACAGGAACGGAGTTCCGGCTGGCTTCCAAGTTGGCCACACCCAGCAGGAACTCATTAGCATAATAGGCCACACCCAACAGCAGAAAGTCATTAGGATTGGCTACATTAGGGGTGTGTGGCCTAACATGCAAAGGAGTTCCTGCTACAAAAAAGCCCTGGGTAAACAGAATAAGAAGCAAAAGGTGAGTGTGGCTGGATGAGCACACTTCTGGTAACATGGGCGTGTGGCCTAATATGCCAATGAGTTGTGCTGTCAGGGGTGTGGCCTAATATGCTAATGAGTTTCTGCTGTTGGGTGTGGCCTATTATGCTAATGAGTTCCTGGTGGGCTTTTTCTACAAAAAAACCCCTGACAGAGCCTATCAGAGTACGGAATTTTCTGAAATATTCCATACAGTACTACAGAAGGTAATACATTACAGCGAGCTGATATAGAAGCTCTATGATAATGTGGGATAGTTAAAGAAGAGAAATACCCTGCTAAAGACCCACAGGGAAAAATCTCCAACCTCAAAGGTGGGCTCTTTAAATCTTGTATCTCAATATCTAGGAGTCTTCATTTAATCAGGACAGGCTGAACTTTCTGGCAAGGAAAATAAATAATCAAGATTAATCCCTATTGAAATAATTTTCTTTTCTATGTAGTTTAGCCACATGGATGACTGGGCCTCAGTCAGCATATAAGATATATTAGAGTTGTCCTTAAAATGGAGGTGTAGCCAGAATTTAATTGTTAAAATCCAAGCTTTCATCCCTAGGAATCTTTGGTTAGTTTCCAAACAAATGGCAGCATAAGGAACACACGGTGGAAGACCAAGTATTTTTCGTAGAAAAGTGGATTGTATCCTTTCCACTTCCTTATTAAGGACCGTGATGCAGACTGGGATCCCATAAAGCAGTTTAGCACTAAAACTCTAATAGCTGTAGGGGTTTGGATTTTGAACTGGGACCAGGGACACCCAAGTTCAAATCTTTACTTGCCATGATACTTACTGTGTGACCTTGGACCAATCATTCTCTCTCAGCTTACTTAACTTGCAGGGTTGCAAGGACAGAAGGGAGACTGATGTATGTGGCCCTGAGCTCCCTGGAGGAAGAGTGGGATAAAAATGAACTGAGCCATTATGTCCTAGAAAAGTGGAACGTAAATTGTTGTCTGTATAAGCTGTATGTGTTGTTGCTGTGGCACATATTGGTGACAAATTAAATGATACCAAACTAGATCACGATTGCTGTGTTGTAAATTCTATGTCTAATTTCTGTCTGTCAGACAATGAAGGTAAAGTAGATTGCCTGATGAGTAATTGAATGGAGAGGAAATCACACTGAGATTTTTTTCTTCCGTTTCCTAATATAGACACATAATTTTCACACAGAGATGATACTTAAAGGCTGGGAGGTAGTGAGCTGTATCTAGCAGTAACAGGAGGGGGGGAGTTTTCACCAATTCCCCTCTTTCAGTGCAGACCCTCAGTTGGCCCCTTGTACTGTTCCATTATGTCCCCTGTCTCCCAGGAACAACATTTCAGGCTGTGGCAGGATGAACAGTACGAGAATACCTCTTGTACTGATACAAATTCTGTCGGCAGAAATTCCTGCTTGATCCAGCTCAGTGCCTTTTCCGAAGATCAGTGCAATTATGCCCACCCCCAAAGGAAAGGCTTTGCGTGCAACTTCAGTCTCTTCCTATCCCCACCCCTGACACTCATACCGGTTGTACTATAAGAACTTTCAGGAATCCCCCACAAAAGGGTAATATATGATCAGAGTTTCATTTATTACTGGTAGCTTACAATACTAATGAAAACACAATAGCGAAAAAAATGACAATTTAAATAAAACATACCAAGTAACCAACTGTACCACTATTCCATAAACATTTCACCGAAACACAGCTTAGATGTTGCAGCTGGCAGCAATGATTAGGAAACAGAGCACTAAAGAAAGGATCATTAGATCATAAAGGAATTTTAGAACTTCAGACACTTACTAGGGAAGGTATTCTTGCTCACGTGACATGCAAATGTCTGGTAGCTCAAAGCTCAAGTCTTGTAGAGAAAAGTGTTGCACTGTAAAACTGAACCTGGCTGTGGAAACAACACTGCTTCCAGTGAAAAATGTAAGGGTACTAGGGACCATGCGAGCTTTCTGAGGATTAAGCAGCAGCAAAACAGGGTGCATCAATTGAGTTGCTCTAGTTGATGTTAAACTGGAGACCTAAAACCTTTTTAAAGAATTAAACTATGAGAATGAAATGTAATAAGTGGTAGAGAAAAGAGAAGCACAGCAAAGAAGGAATGGAGGTGATATATACCTGGACAAAGCAAAAGTGAACTTTACTTTCAGATTCACAGATGCCTAAGTGATCAAAAAAAGACACAAAGATATGTATACTAACCCAGGCTGAAGTGATCTGCCCTCCTTCCTTTCCCTTTTCTCCTGGTTCTTGCCTATCTTTGTTATCACTCCTCCTCTTCATATTCTGAGGGTGATATATTGTACTACTCACAGTAGATATTTCACACCCATGTCACTAATTCAGTTATCTTAGGCTGCGATCACACAAACCAAAGAATCCACTTTCAAGCCACTTTCAATGTACTTTCCAACTGGATTTTACTGTGTGAACTGGCAAAATCCAGTTTGAAAGTGCACTGAAAGTGAATTATTTAGTGTGTGTGATCACAGCCTTATTGTATTTATTTCCTTTTTATTAGGCAAGACCAGAACAAAGGACAAGTACCGTGTTGTGTACACAGACCATCAGCGCTTGGAACTGGAAAAGGAGTTCCACTACAGCCGCTACATCACCATCCGGCGGAAAGCAGAGCTGGCAGCAACGCTTGGACTCACTGAACGACAGGTTGGTGCAAACACTTGAAGCTGCCTTCATAATTCTCACAGAATACAGTGGGACTTACTTGTGAGTGCATGTGTATAGGGTCAGGTTTCTAATCTACTTCAAGGCTACTTAGTTTTCTCCTGTAGCTAATTGTATGGAGTCAGGAGCTAGTACACTATAGTAGCTGGAGTGTCAAACTAGGATTTGGGATTAAAATCCCCTCTCGGACATGAAGACCATTAGGTTTCCTTGGGGCAGTCACGTTCTCTCAGTTTAACATACCTAACAGTTGTTGGCATGAAGATAAAATGTATGCTCCCTCAAAGGCATGATAAAAATGTGATAGATCTCTGCTGATTTTGTGCCAATGAATGATTAAATTTCTAAGTCTGCATTACAGAATTACTGGGCTGGATTTTTATTAGGTCTGAGAAACAAACTCTCCTCCTGTGGCCTTAAATAGGAAACTGACACAGGAGACAGGAATTATGAGAACTGGTACAGCCATAGGCCTCTTATATATAGTCAAACATCGTGTTTCCCATAATGCCCATTTTTTCTTGACTTGATCTGCCTACACTTGAATTACAGAAATTTATTTATTTATTTATTCAATTTATACCCCACCCTCCCCGCCAAGGCAGACTCAGGGCGGCTTACATAAAATGCATATATAAAAATACAGTTAAAACATACATAAACAATCAATTATCCATTTTCCTAAAATGCCAGATCAATTAAAGTGCAAGAGCAAAAATTCCTAGATTAGACCATACCACTACTTTGGTGATAGTCCTGATGGCATTCTCACAACGGTTCAATTTGATCAATTAATTTATGCGGTGAGCCAGGCTGAAGGTGGTAAAGCCAGGGCACAGGGTCACCCCTCGGTGTTTAAGGTGGCTCCTAAGTGAAGGCCTGGTGGAAGAGCTCCGTCTTGTTACTGACAATCTGGAACAAGATTATTTTGAGTTTATGTTTATGTGCCATTTCAGTCTAATCAAGAGTCAGAACATGCTTTGTACTAACCAGATTGCAAAGACATCATGGTCAGAGGCTAGGCATGCATCCTTTAAAGGTTCTCTGAGAACATGCCCTGGTCACTGCTCATGACGAATGGTGTGGTGGTAAGTTCGGAAATGCAAGAGCTTTTTATGACATGCTGCAGGCATTTTTCTGCAGCTGTGCCTCCATAGCCATACTCTCAGTAACACTATACATCAAAAAAAAAACATGAACTTCTGATTTTTTTTATCTTATACCAAGATCTGGAATATGTTTGAATGGATAGCTGCATTAATCTATAGTAGGAAAATAAAACAAGACTCCAGTGGCACTTTAGAGACTACACAGCATATTTTCCAATATTAGCTGCAATCATTCCATGTATTTTAGTTTCTAAGCTTCTATTGGACTCTTGTTTCATTTTGAAATAAGTGTTGAACCTAGGAATAAGGTATGTCCCAGATGAAGCCCTGGATGAAGCCGGGTGCTTTAAGGTTCTAGGAAGCTTAAGAGCTCTGATGTGAAGCCCAAATACCATTGAAATTTGTTTGTTTCAGGAAGCTGAAAGAGATGATGTGTGGCTTTACCATCCTGGCTAACGGACCAAGCATCAGTTTGAATTGGTCATAAACTTGCTAGATGTTTTTAGGCAAGTTGCTCTTACAAGGAGCTGCTTTTGTGTCAAGTGAGGATGCACAATGAAAGAATGTGTTTTATTTTTAGGTTGTGGTGCATTCAACTGTTTCTTATTTCTTCATTTTCCTCCTTGGCTCTACCACCTTCTGCATCTTTGTTCTTACAGGTGAAAATCTGGTTCCAGAATAGGAGAGCTAAGGAGAGGAAGGTGAACAAGAAGAAGATGCAGCAACAAACACAGCCCGCCAGTACGACCACACCCACCCCTCCAACAATTGGCACACCTGGTCCAATTGGGGGTATCTGCAGCAGTACCACCAACCTGGTCTCCTCATCACCAATGACTATCAAGGAAGAATACATGCCTTAAATCCCACTCTTGCCTTCGATCTACAGATTCAAAAATGTGTGGTTGACCAAGAGAATCAAAGTAGCTGGCAGATGCTACAGGCTAATATAGAGGTGACGTTATCACTGCTGAGACCCTGAAGCCACTTCCTTTGCACCCAGTGTGTGTTCTCATGATAGACTTACTCCTATGTATAAAAGCAGTAGGGTCATTGTTATTAGTTCACTTTATGGAAGGATTTGCTGCTGTCTGAAAATATTTAAAGGGGGAAATGCAAACATAGTTGCTGGGGGGGGGAGAGAAAAGAAACAACAGGCTACTGAGAAAGTATTTCAGGATAATTTGTCAGCCTAGAAGCAAGCGCAGGTGAACCATCTGAGGCCCAAGTCGTGTCTGAATCCCATCCAGGTCAGCTAACAAAGGTCAGGTGGTTGCTTCCACACCTGAGTTCAAATGCATAGCACTGAAAGGCACAGTCACTCAGTAAACCATCCAAGCGGAACTGAGCGGCCAACAGTACGGCAAGGCTGAGATGGCTGAGAACTGCCCAAGTGCAAAGTGTAGAAAAAGAGGCAGGAATCCTGAATTAGTCGGCAAAGTACTGAAGCCAGTTGTTGTCTTGTTGGTCTCTTACATCAAGGATCAAATTATGTACTTAAGAATTTCCTTTTTTATTTTTGTTTTTAAAATGTAGTTCAGTATAGAATCACAGTTGGAAGGGGCCATACAGGCCATGTAGTCCAATTCCCTGCTCCATGAAGGATCAGTGTAAAGTATCCCTAACAAGTATTCATCCAGCCACTGCTTGAAGACTGCCAGTGAGGGGGAGCTCACCACCTTCCTAGGCAGCTGATTGCACTGTTGCACAACTCTTACTGTAAAAAAGTTTTTCCTAAGATCCAGCTGGTACCTTCCCACCCTTAATTTACACCCATTATTGTGGGTCCTATCCTCTGCTACCAACAGGAACAGCTCCCTGCCCTCCTCTAAGTGACAGCCCTTCAAATACTACAACCATTCTCCAGACTGAACATTCCCAAGTCCCTCAGCCTTTCCTCACAGGGTCTTCAGGCCCCCGATCATCCTCATTGCTCTCCTCTGCACCCGCTCCATTCTGTCCACATCTTTTTTGAAGTGAGGCCTCCAGAACTGCACACAATACTCCAGGTGCAGCCTGACCAATGTGTTGTTCAGCATGACTATGCCATCTTGCCATCTGGATGTTATTCCAGACTGTGTTTCAGGAAGCACCAGTACTAAATCTCTTGAGGAATATTGACTCAGTGAGAAAACAGGCATGCAGGAAGCTCCATACTCAATCCCTGGCATCTCCAGTTACAAAGATCTCAGAAAGCAAGTGCTAAGAGAGCCCCCTGTTTGTCTGGGATGCTGGAGAGCTGCTGCCAATCAGAGCAGATGATACTGAGCTAGATGGATGTCTGGTTCAGTGTAAGGCAGCTTCACATATGGCTCCTCTCCTGGTAGGTGCAGTAGGACAGCAGTTCAGCAACTAGCTGATGTTTGTCTAGCTTCTCCCTATTTTGAGGATGCCGGCTTGCCTACCTTCTTTGCCAGCTTGCCCAAGTAAAGGGTATTTTGCTCACCGATTAGTGTGGCTTTCTGATTATATTTGTTTTATAAATATGTGTGGATTTGAATTACTTGATTGTGTTCATCTATGTTGTTAGCCCTTTGTCAATGAGATGGAAACCCTAAGCATTGTTAGAAATCACTTAGTGTTTCAGAAAAGGAAAGCACATGCATACCTATGTGTCAGATTCCTGTTGCTTGCAGTCTTCGTCAGCTTTGACTCAAAACATTGCACACAAAGAAGACCCAGCTTGCTGCATCTGACTGTATGATTAAATGAGGGAAGAATGAAGTAAAAAGAGATAAGAACATAGAAGAGCCCTGCTGGATCAGACCAGTGGTCCATCTTGTCCAGCATCCTGACTCACACAGTGGCCAACCAGTTCCTCTGAAAAGCCAACAACATGGCATAGATGCCGAGGTCTTCCCCTGATGTTGCCTCCTGGCACTGAAATTCAGAGGCTGACTGCTTCTGAATGTGGAGGTTTTCCTCAGTCACCATGGCTAGTAGCCATTGATAGACTATCCTCCAAGAATCTGTCTAATCTCCATTTAAAGCCATCTATGCCTTTGGCCATTACTCTGGCAGTGAATTCCACATTTTAATCACTCACTGTGTAAAGAAGTATTTCCTGTTGTCCATCCTGAATCTACTGCCCATCAGTTTCATTGGATGCCCTTGAGTTCTAGTATTTGGGGAGAGGGAGAAAAAGTTCTCTTTGTCAACTCTCTCAACCCTGTTCATAATTTTATAAACCTCTATCATGAACCCCCCTTTAGCTGTCCCTTTTCTAAACTGAGAAGTCCCAGACTCTTCAGCCTTTCCTTACAGGGAAGGTGCTCTAATCCCCTAATCATCTTGGTGGCCCTCCCCTGTACTTTTTCCAGCTCTGTGATGATTTTTTTGAAATATGGTGACCAGAACTGATACTGAAAGGATTAAACAGGGAAGGAGGGCCTGCAACTAACCAGGAAGAAATTAGAAGGGATGTTAGAACAAATACATTGATATTAGTTTGGTGTACCAATAGTAGCCACCAATGCTCCCTCTAAGCTGCGGAGTCTTGTGAGCAAAAATTCTACTTTGTGAGCTGCTGGCATAAAAGCTGTGAGTTGAATGATTTGGCTACTGCACAAATTAGTGTGCTCTGGAGCCATCCTTCCTGAACTAAGACAAAAATGGGTGAGCCAGAGGCTAAAAATCTGTGAGCTAGCTCACACTAACTCAGCTTAGAGGGAACACTGGTAGCAACTATGAAGGTAACATTCCAGAGAAGCTGGGGAGCTTACATTCACTCAACTCACTCACTCAGTCTCTCACTCCATATATATCCAGGGGTCATTTTGAAGAAAAAGAGGTGCAGGAGCTCATTAGCATAACTCATTAGCATAACTTATTTGCATATGCCACACCCCCTGACATCACTGGAAGTGTGTCAGAAGGCAACACCCACCGCTCAGGCTCCACTGGACTGTTTTGGATTGCTAGCTATTGGGGGGGGGGGAACGTGCAGATCTGTCCTCGCAGAGGAGGGAGAGCTTGTACCTGAATAAAACTTGGTCTTAAAGATGCCACTGGTTTGTTTTGGACCAGGAGGCCGGGGGGAACTCAGCAACTTACCTGGCTGCTTCTTGCTCTGCCTGATGGCTGCTGGGAGCAGGGGGTGGGGCTTGTTGCATGTGCCCGCCCGCCCCCTGGGCTCTTTACTGCCGGAGCTCCATATATATATAATCCCCTGCTATTGCAACTGATCTCCAGACAATCAAGATCAGTTCCCCTGGAGAAAATGGCTGCCATGATGCTATAACATTATGGACTCTATGGACCTTGCTGAGGTCCCTCCCCTCCCCAGACTCCTCCAAAATCTCCAGGTGTTTCCCAACCCAGAGCTGGCAACCCTAGGGGTAGCAGTTGTAGCAAAAACAAAGAAGGAGTCCTGTGGCACCGTAAATACTACCAGGTTTATTGTGACAAAAAGCTTTTGTGCCCACTTCTGATACATGAAGTGTGTCCTAATTTGACAGATGTAGTGTATACATTAGATTAGGAAATAAAACTGCGAACAGTGGAATCAAGTGGCATGGAAGAGGAGCAGAGTCTGTAACATTTCTGTGCAAAGCTCAAATATATTAGTGACCATTCACAACTGATAAAACAATATTCATAGCTTGGCTAAGCTAAATTAACATCTGTAGTGAACGGCCCTGACTTGGATAGCCTAGGCAAGCCCGATCTTGTCAGATATTGGAAGATAAGCAGGGTCAACCCTGGCAAGTAATTGGAAGGGCGACCTCCAAGGAATACCAGGGCTCGGGACGCAGACGCAAGCCTCTGAAATGTCCAAACCCCACTAGGAGTTGCCAGAAATCACTATGGCTTTCAGACATGCAAGGACGCGCACGCACACACACATACATACACCCATCTGTAGTGAATGAGAGAACCTTCGTCTCAGTTCAACTTAGCTAAATACAATCAAACTCTACCTCTTGGAGTTCTACATGATTTACTAAACCAGGAAGCAAATGGAAGACTGGAGAAGCTGAAGATGAAACTGATGTGTTCCTGATGAATCTCTTGGACACCTCACTGAGCCAGGTGAACATTCTTTCAGCTCTCACTACTGATGCATCTGGCTTAGAAATTATAGTTCTCACCCTCCTAGTACCTGGGGACTTACCACTATCTGCAGTGCTTAGTGGCAAAACACTGGTGTTTATATTTCTTCAATATGAAAACTCGGGTTGAGAATTATTTTGTATATAAGGCAAAAAAAATCTTTTTAAAAAATGTCTCTTCAAAAATAAAGATAACGTTTTAGATATATGTTATTCTTCCACCCTTTTCTTCAACATGGTGATGACTACGAGTTATTAGGTCTGAAAAGTAACAGGGACAATCTGCAGTGTGTGTGGGTGGGGAGCAGGGGACTTATAGAGACGTTTGGCTTGAGATTAACAAATGTGATTTCTTTCTTTGAATGGCTAGATTCAAGTCCAGTAGCACCTTAGCATCCAACAAGTTTTTTTTTTTGGGGGGGGGAATGAGCTTTTGAGACTCAGGTATCTGATGAAGGGAGCTTGAACTCTTGGAAATGCCTCCCCCCCAAAAATCATGTTAGTCTCCAAGGCGCTACTGGACTCAAATCTAGCTGTTCTACCACAGACCAACATGGCTACCCTTTGAAACCTTGTTTGGGTGGGGAACTGATAATCATACTGGAACACACATTTTTTAACATCCAGGAGGATAAACTAAGTATACTACCACTACCTATCTTTGTGGTAGGGGCAGCTTTAATAAAGCAGTGCAATGGATATCTTATGGCCTTTCTAACATGTTGCATAACTTGGTATTCAAATACTTGTCTGGACCAAGGCTACTTCCACATGGAGCAATTACGTAAATGCAGAGGAATTTGCAGTGATAG